AAGAGGGGGGGCCAGCCGCCATGGCATCTGAGGTGGTCTCAGTGTGTGTATGTGCCTCCTCTCTGTGCTGTAGCTGGAGGTCTCAGAGCGGGTGTAGAAGGTGTTGAGGTCATCCAGCAGGCTGTCTGTGGAGCTGATGATGCTGCTGGTGGTCCTGTAGTCTGTGATGTGCTGCAGGCCTTGCCACATCCATCTGGAGTCAGCAGGAGAATAGACGCCATTCAGCTTCTCTCTGTACTGCTTCTTGGCCGCTGTGATGGCTTTCCTCAGTCTGTACTTCACAGCTTTGTACTCCGTCTCATTGCCTGATCTGAATGCATGAGAGCGAGCACACAGCATGTGTTTATTGAGGGCTTTTGTTTGGGAAGCCTCCTGACTTGTATGGTGGGCACAATGTTGTTGCTAAAAGGTACTAATGTGCCCAGTCACATGCTCAGCATAGTCCTGTACGCTGACAGAAAGGTCCTCCAAGGTGGCTGCAGCTTTAAACACATCCCAGTCTCTGGGGTCCAGAGTTTAATTTGTTTGGTGACAGGGTTTGTTTGTTTCAGTCTTTGTCTGTAAGCTGGGGACAAGAACAAAGACATGTGGTCCGAGCGCCCAAAGCGAGCACGGGATGCAGCCCTCTATGCACCCCATGTTACTGTTAACATGATCCAGAGTGTTCTTGCCCCGGGTGGGAATGTTCACATGTTGGTAATATTTGGGAAGTACAGTCTGTAGATTGCACTGATTAAAGTCCCCTGCGGCAATGAATACAGCATTGGGGTGAGCCGTCTCTGATGACGTTGTGGAGTTTGCTGAGAGCCGCCGAGGGATTAGCTCTTGGGCTAACATACACAGCAGCCAGAAACACAGCACTATGCTCTCTTGCTAAATAATGGGGCCGGCATTTCAGTAATAAAAACTTTTCTGGTGAACAGTGTTTATAAACAGTCCGTACATTTCCACACCACGAGTCTGCTCAAGCTCTGCCAGGTTGCATGGCGATCAGGCGTGAACATCCCTTTTCAAGTCCAGCCACGAATTCTTTATTGAACTGAAGTCTGGGCTTGGACTCGGCTGCTCCAGAACGCTCACCTTGTTGTCTTTAAACCATTTCTGTGTAGCTTTCACTATATGCTTCGGGTCATGGTCTTGCTGGAAAATAAATCTTCTCCCAAGCAAACCAGTAAATTCCCAGTGGCTGTGTGAGTTGGCGACATCTAGCAATGCCTGTCTGTTGTATGTTAGCAGTGCATGACATTTGTGCACTGCAGAAATTTCACAAATTGTGAGACTACTACTGCGGACTTCCAGCGCCGACAGCGATGGCGGCCATGGTTACTCGCGCTCTCTTGTGTTTGTTGTTTTAATTTGTTTTCTTTGTCTTTTGCAACTCATCCCGGATTACTTTTACCAGAGAAGAACTTAAATATCAGACAACTCACACTGAACTACCTTCCTCCAATTTTTATGAACGAAGAATGCTGTATGGGCGTTCTGATGGGAGGCGCAGTGGCAATATACGGGACCTGGAAAAAATGCCGCCGTGGAAAGCGCGCAGGCGCCTTGGTGCGGTTACGTCAGAGAGGAACACGGACCTCACTCCCATCTATTCACCTGGCAAATCTCCGCTCCCTGGTCAACAAAATGGATGAAATTCTTCTCGTCAACAGGACTAACTCTGACTTGCTTCACGGAGACCTGGCGGACAGCGCGATTCAAGTACCGGGCTTCCAGGTGTTCAGAGCGGATCGTGTAAAGGAGCTGTACTGGAAAACAAGAGGAGGTGGAATCTGCTTCTACATAAATGAAGGTTGGTACACAGATGTCACAGTGCTACAGAGGACATGTACCGCAGACCTAGAGACTCTTGTCATCAATTGCAAACCTTTTTATTCTTCCTGTGAATAAGCACTATGGCTCCTGGCAGAACTGATAACTAGCCTGGAGCTAGCACATCACAACTTTCCACTCATTGTTCTAGGGGACTTTAACAGAGCAAATCTCGCCCACAAACTGCCCAAATACAGGCAGCATGTCACCTGTCCCACCAGGGACAAAATGACACAGGACCACTGCTACACAACAATAAAAGACGCCTATCACTCTGTCCCCCGCGCAGCCCTCGGACTCTGATCACTGTATGGTCCATCTTATTCCAACCTACAGGCAGAAACTTGAAGTGGTCAAAACAGTGAAGAGCTGGACTGAGGAGGCTAAGTCAGAGCTACAGGCGTGCTTTGACTGCACAGACTGGAGTGTATTTGAGACTGCAGCTACAGACCTGGATGAACTCACTGACACTGTCACATCTCATATCAGTTTTTGTGTGTGTGCCCAAAAAGACCTTCTGCACATACAACAACAACAAGCCCTGGTTTACAGCCAGACTCAAGCAACTTTGTCATGCCGAATAGGATGCTTACCAAAGTGGGGACAGGACTCTGTACAGCCAAGCTAGGAACTCACTGACAAGGGAGATCAGAGCAGCAAAGAGGAGCTACTCTGAAAAGCTGAAAGCTCAGGTTTCAGCCAACGACCCCTCGTCTGTGTGGGGGAGCCTGAAAAGCATCACTGGCTATAGGAAAGCATCCCCCCTTGCTGTGGATGACCGTCAACTAGTAGACAACCTGAATGTGTTGTACTGCAGGTTTGATAATCAAAACTCCCCCCTCACCCTCCTCACCTCAGATCCAGCAGCTGCTCCCCCAACAACCACCACCCTTCCCTCCAGCCCCCCACCTCTAACGATCTGTGAAAAGGATGTGCGTGGCCTCTTTAAAAAAACAAAAAAACAACAAAGGATCAGAAAGGCATGAGGCCCAGATGGTGTGACCCCCTCCTGCTTGAAAGTGTGTGCTGATCAGCTGGCCCCCATCTTCACACTTATCTTCAACAGGTCACTGGAGCTGTGTGTCCCCTTCTCCTGCTTCAAATGCTCCGCCATCATTCCAGTCCCCAAGAAAACCTCCATCAGTGGACTGAACGACTACAGACCTGTCGCCCTGACATCTGTAGTTATGAAGTCCTTTGAAAGACTGTTGTTGGCTTACCTGAAGGACACCGTAAGCCCCCTGCTAGACCCCCTGCAGTTTGCCTACTGGGCAAACAGGTCAGTGGATGATGCAGTTAACATGACACTGCCCAGGTGAGGCTGGGGAAAACCACATCCAGCACCCAGACAATAAGCACAGGCGCCCCTCAGGGATGTGTGCTCTCCCCTCTGCTGGTTTTTTTTTCTAGACCGACTGCATCTCGAAGGACCCATCTGTCAAGCTCCTAAAGTTTGCTGATGTTACAACGGTCATTGGTTTCATCCGAGGCGGCGACAAGTCAGCCTACACATGGGAGGTTGAGCAGCTGGTCCTGTAGTGTATCCACAACAACCTGGAGCTGAACACGCTCAAAACAGTGGAGATGACAGTGGACTTCAGAAAGAGCCCCCCCACCTTACCCCCACTTGCCATACTTGGCAGCACTGTTTCAGCAATAAAGTCCTACAAATTCCTGGGCTCCACTATCTCCCAGGACCGGAAGTGGACATCCAACATCAGGATCATCATCAAGAAGGCACAGCAGAGGATGTCCCTCCTGTGGAAGCTCAGGAAGTTTGACCTGCCCCAGGAGCTGCTGGTACAGTTCTACAGAGGAATCATCGAGTCTGTTCTCTGCATCTCCATCACTGTCTGGTTTGGCTCAGCAACCAAACAGGACAAGTACAGACTTCAACAGCCAGGTCATTGATGCAAGCCTGCCCTCCATGGACGACCTGTACACCTCACGGGTCAAAAGGAGGGCGGAGAGGATCACTGCAAACCCCTCACACCCGGGACACAATACCGCTGGAACTCCTCCTCTCTGGATGGCGTTACAGGTCACTGTGCACTAAGACAACCAGGCACAGAGACAGTTTCTTCCCCCAGGCCTCTGATGAACACTTGACCAACGACAGTATGACTGGACAATAACTTTCAGTGCAATACTTGTAAATATTCATTGTACAGATTATACAGACTCATACAGGTCTCTAGTTTTAAATACTCTGTTTTTATTCATATTTATCTCATTTCAGTGAGCATTCCTTTGTCTGCATTGTTTACTGCCTGTTTATACTGCTTATACTGCTTATTTTGCATTGTTTGCACCGTTCTGTTGTTTGTTAATACTGCTTATTTTGTTATATTACACAGCCTTATGCTGGTTTACTGTTTACTTGCCCCTTGCATGGGGATATGTGCATGCACATTGAGAACGGATGTACCAGAGTCAAAGTCCTCGACACACCTGGCCAATAAAGCGGATTCTGATTCTGATACTGATACTAGGACCAATGGGTCAGTCATTTTAAAGGGGGTGAATATTTATACAGTCACTTATTTCCCATTACATATTTTTATTTAATTGACATAACTTTGTAGAAACCCATTTTCATTTTGATATTAAAGAGTTTCTTTTGTTTTTTTTTGTTTTTTTTTGTCAAAACAGCCAAATTATATTGACCATGATTGATTTATAAAATCAACAAAAGGGTAAAACATCCAAGGGGGTGAATACCTTTTATAGGCACTGTATATCCTGTACATGTTGAAATGGCCTGCATGAATGTAGAGAATATGAATGTCCGACTATATAATAGGACAGTAAATCTTTGATGTTGAGTTAAACCCTGCAGCAGTACAGGAATGAATAGGTAATCATGATGTCAGCTTGCTGAGTTAGAAGTTAATTGCTTTTTTCCCCTCTGTTCAGGACACAAGCTTCATCAGTGGATGACAGGGAAGACCAAGAGGAATTTGGTGAACTTACTCTCCATTCTGACACCCTGACCCTAGAGGGACTGCCGTGTACCAATGCTGTGGAGGTACACAGGGACTCTCAGCCAGGTGAGGAAAACCCACTACTGGGATTCATGTAACCAGCTCTGGTAAATGTTGCTTAGATTTACTGTCAATATTGGAGACTAAAATCTCAAAATAGCTGAAAACAAAACAAAAACAGAACAGACACATGTATAATTGACTTTCTTATTTCAAAGAATGTAAAATGTGATAGAATCATAGGAATTGTATAGTACATTATCAGACTGTTTTGCTTTATTCTCTAAACTATCTGATCATCAGTTTGCCTTACTGCTGAATGACAGTAAAGGTGCAAAGTCGTTGTTTTAGAGTGCAGAAATGGTGGTAAGCTGAAGATTTGCTATGGAAGAAGCTATTTAAAATGTATCCAGTCACCATGGCCCCACTGGCTAGTTACATTTTTAAGGAGGTAGGCACTGGATCTGTTGTAGCCTATGGCATAACAACAGATGCAATGCTTACAGGCTACCTCATAATACTTAAGTATAAAAAACAGCTTTAGTCTTCACTGTTCAGTTAAATCTACTGGATTTTACTGAGTATTAAACACTTTTGTGTTTAAAAATTCATTCTAAACAGTTAAGCAGGTGTTTAACTCGTGCATCCCAGCTTTCTTACAGAGCTCACTTACGGCTAATGTATTTACATTACTTTGTAGGAATCCACTTATATGTGCACCATGTATCTTCACCTCTAATGTACATCATTTCCATTTGTTTCTATGTGCAGTGTTTCTTACACATAGACTTGACTTGGGTGGGCCGCCCAGGTACTGTAACTCAATGGCCGCCCAAGTGTATTTGGCCACCCATTTTTATTATAAAAATTTTTTATGTCTGAGAGAACTACACCATCTGTGATCAATTAACTGCAAATGAATATTCTCTTGATATTTCATCTGCACACAGTGCAGTGATTCGCTCATCCGCTCTTTGCTGCATTCTCTCTCTCGCACGCGCGCAAACACGCACGCACACACGTTGTGTTTTCATTCCTTGTGGGGACTTCACATTAACTTATTCATTTCTTGCCCCTTCTTATCCTAACCTTAACCATAACCACTACTTGCCTAACACCTAACCCTAATACTTAACCTAACACCTATCCTCATCCTAACCCTAAACCATGTTGCCACCTTAAAATTCAGTGATTTTCTTGTGGGGACTAGCTTCTGGTCCCCACAAGGATGGCTGAGTCCCCACAGTGTGAGTGTGTTAACAGGTTTCGGTCCTCATGATGTAAGTAATGTAAGTAATACAAAGGCACACACATACAAACATACATAGTGACCTCATGTTGAACCACAGTGTTACTGCTGTGTTTGTGTGTTGGCGGACCTCTCCTTCTACATTACATCAATCAAAATCTGCATGATGTATACTGTAGCAAAGTGTTCAAAGATGCTAACAAGGCTACTCTGTTTCCCTTCTACAGAGTCTGTGAGGAGCAGTAGTAAAATCGTAGCAGAGGCTGTGGTTGATGAGGAGGCCATCTTGAGTCTCCTGGAGAACAGTCAGATCTTCCTCCCACTCTCCCGGCCATCCAGCCACTCACCCCTGTTAGGTACAATAGCCACTCTTCAGATCAGACAGCTCTGGGCTGCTGACATCCTGTTATTCTTTTTTTTGTTAAATATACAGTTTAAAACAAATATTTACAGCACAGGAAACACTCTATAGATCATAAATGGGTTCATTTGCTCCGGTCGTACAGGGACCAGGCGGCCCTTAGCAAAGTCCTGGAGCACCCCCTACAGGGTACCGTGAGGCACACGGTCAAATGCCTTCTTCAGATCCACAAAACACATGTGGACTGGTTGGGAAAACTCCCATGAACCCTCCACCACCTTGAAGAGGGTATAGAGCTGGTCCAGTGTTCCACGGCCAGGACAAAAACCGCATTGTTCCTCCTGAATCCGAGGTTCGACTATCTGTCGAATTATCCTTTCCAGTACCCTGGCATAGACTTTCCCGGGGAGGCTGAGGAGTGTGATCCCCCTATAGTTGGAACACACCCTCCGGTCCCCCCTTCTTAAAGAGGAACACACACCCCGGTCTGCTAGTCCAGAGGCACGATCCCCAACCGCCATGCGACGTTGCAGAGGCTTGTCAGCCAAGACAGCCCCACAACATCCAGAGACTTGAGGTACTCAGGGCGTATCTCATCCACCCCCGGTGCCTTGCCACCGAGAAGCTTCTTAACTACCACAAGGTAAACTACGTCAAAGGGTCTGTTGGGATTATACCTGAGCCCCCGGCCTCTGCTTCCTCATCGGAAGACATGACGCTGGGGTTGAGGAGATCCTCGAAGTATTCCTTCCCCCACCCGACGATATCCCTAGTCGAGGTCAACAACTGCCCACCTCCACTGTAAACAGTTTTGGCAGGGCACTGCTTCCCCCTCCTGAGGTGTTGGACGGTTTGCCAGAATTTCTTCGAAGCCGACCGATAGTCCTTCTCCATGGCCTCACCGAACTCCTCCCAGACCCGAGCTTTTGCCTCCACAACCACCCGGGCTGCAGTCCGCTTGGCCTGTCAGTACCCGTCAGCTGCCTCCGGTGCCCCACAAACA